ACACTGTCATGTTCACTTTATTGTCAAAGTCTGCTCGTTGGTCTTGACTATCGTTATGCCAAAACTCATGTAAAAGTGCTTTTTTTCTTCCCCCAACAGCTGACAGATGAGCTCATTGCCGCCTACCCCTCTTGCTTCCCAGGATTGGAGTCTAGGATACACTGCCACTACATGATGCGTTGCTGCTTTGGGCCAGTTGTTGAGGCTTGTATCCTGCTAGATCGAGTACTCTTTCTCTTCGAAGCCGGCAGAGAACACTCTTTCCCCGTCAATCCTCGGCTGGTTCGGGTTTTCGACCCCCTTATCTCACCACGCTGTCATGCCATTGTGGCCACGAAATAGAAGCCCATCGCAACTCTTGGTTCAGCGCCATCCCGAACGCAGTTTTTGTATATGCATTATTTAATCTGCCAAGTGTGAATAAAAACTTCCTTCGCTACTTTATTGAACGTTTCGTAGTGCCAGCTACCGACTCCCGGGACCTGTTGCAGCGCGAATGTCTAGTAGGCTACTGTTATGCCGCAAAAGGTAGGCAAAAACACAAGATAGTAAGCGTTCTGGAATATTCCGGGCGTGGCTTGGCGTTTATTGATTGGCCGGCTCGTGCACAAGTACCACTTTAGGGAAAATATCGAATTATCCATCTACAGCACGGGAATAAAAATATCAGGCGTGGTCGATATTATCGTGAACGCTTAGTGGCTTTCCGGCCCAAGATTCCGTGACCAACTTGGCACGGCGCTTGGCTCTAAACGTTTGCCATAGGTCGCGCCGTAAGAGGTATAATCTCACCGTAGGCACCAGCTTCTACGTTACCCAAACCATTCTTCTTGTATGGTTGCATTTGAGTACCCTGCAACGTTATTTGGATTTCAACTTCCAAAGGGGCGGCGATATGACGGTTGTTTTCTGCCTCTTCTTCGTCGTCTTAAGTTGCTAACCCCGCTTGTGCAACACAACCCTTATTTACTTCAGTGCCACCTCCAAACACAGTTTGCCTGTACAAGCATTAATTTGCCAGATGTGAATAAAAACTGCCCTTTGCTGCTTTCTTGAACATTTTGCAGTGTCAGCTACCGGTCCCGGATGTTTTGACCTCGCCACAAGCCAAGGTGTTCGCCGTCCCGATTGAATCCCCAAGGGAGAATTCGATAGCAAGGGCGAAGGACTGGAAGTGTATTTTCGTATGCTAACAGCGTACTTATAAAGATAAAGAAGGTATCTACAAGCATGTAAAAGATCGATCTGCAATGGGCCTAATCAGATGGTGTCCTCAAGTGAGTAGCACCTCCACAGGCTTTATAACTCGTCCAACTGGCAGGGTAGAGTCCTTGTCCTGACGGCAGCTTGCGCGTTATCGTGTCTTGCATGTGGGTGGATCGGTAGTGTGGTGTGGGAGCGAGTCGGTTTGGGCGACTCCTAACGCCGGAGACGTTTTGCGGCGCGAATGTTAAGTAGGTTACAATATGTTTCAACCTAGGGACCAGCTCTTACGCGACGCAAAACTTGCTCCCTTTGTGGTTGTATATATGTATCTTATAATATTATTTGGATTCCAATCTCTCAATGTAAGGCGATATGTCTTCTATTTCTTCGTCCCCTTAAATCCGCATATAATCGTAAAGTGCCGCCAGCGCAGTTCGACCACATTTTGTTACTTGATAAAAGTGCGTATCGACTAATTCCAGATCACGTGATCGTACTAATAAGAAGTCCCCATGACGGTCAGTGAAGAC